TTCATCAAAGTAGTGTACAAATTTTACATAAGGACTATTTTACTAACGGGAATGTTTTTCGAGTGTTGTGGTTACTAGCATTATTGCTGAATCTTTAAGGTACTTAATAGATTTTTAGGAATGTCATAAACATTTTTTTGGGTCGTAGATCAACAAAATCGACAAAATTCACAAATCAAAAAGGAATAAAGACAATCTTTACTTGTCAATCAAATATTTTACATCCTGTCCGATCCATCAAAAATATCATTGAACAACATGGAGTTTTTAAACTATCTGGTGCAGACTGTTTACGATAATATATAGGCCAAACCAATCGAAAAATCGAAGATAAAATTTATGTACATAAAAAACTCCTCCTCGCAGTCAAAAAGACATCTTAAGCAGCCTTCTACATATGCTGCACTCCAACCAATTCACAACATCCTTTGATGGGCTTTTGTATACAATCAAATACACATCTACCATAAGCTCTGAAAAGTATTTTAATTTCCTAAATAGGAACTAAAAGCACGGCATGTTGTAACTCCATATTAAATAAAGATCCTTCCCCAAATCCCACACAGGACACTGCTGTCAATCGGTCCCAAGTAGCTTAGTGCAGTGAACAGTGAAAAATGGACAGGTGAGATTATCTGGGAGCTTAGTAGACTAACCACCCACACTGGAAGATGGTAACTTTTACCAAATTAATGTATGAAACGAATCACAAAATGTCTATAAACTGTTTGTCTATAAACTGTTGGAAATCTTAATCTACAACAGAATTAGTAGAAACATATTTGAAGTGATACCTATTGAGCAAGCAGGGTTCAGACCCAATCGCAGCTGCACAGATCAGACCCTATCCTTAACAACACATATTGAAACAGGTTTTCAAAGAAAGCAAAAAACATCCATTGCTTTTATTAACCTATCAGCAGCATACGATACTGTTTGGATACAAGGACTAATCTGCAAACTTATCCGTGTCATCCCGTGTCAAAAGGTAACTAAATTTATTGATAACATGCTCACTGACAGACCTTTTAAAGTCACAATGGGGAATTTTAAAAGTGCCCAAATGAAGCTCGGGAATGGACTGTCACAGGGATCTGTTTTGGTACTCTTACTGTTTAATTTATACATCGCGGACGTACCTGGGACAACTTTGCAGATATTGTCCCAGGTAAAAGGAAAGACTGCGCTGACGATTGGGCCATTGCAGCAAGTCATAATAACATGAATATCACATAAACTAACGGATGACCTTGCTATTGTGGGAGAATACTTTCGCAAATGGAGGCTACGGCTTAATGTAACGAGAACCGAAGTGTGCTGTTTTCATCTGAATAAAGCCCAAGCCAACAAAAATCTCTCCGTCCCCTTTGAAAACAGACTGCTCACTCATAACTCAAGACCAAAATATCTTGGAGTTTTTCTGAACAGAACATTATGTTTTAAAGAACATCTTCAAAGAATGACAGCAAAACTGAAAACGAGAAATAATATAGTCCAAAAGCTATGTGGTACTATATGGTGGTCCTCAGTCTCCGTACTCAGATCATTCGCTTTTGGACTTGTATACTCGGTGGCTGAATATGCTTCCCCGATATGGCTCAATAGCAAACACATGAAGATTATTGACACCCAATTAAACTAGACAATGCGAATGATCTTAGGTACAATTAGACGAAGTCATTCTCTTCTGAGAAAATATCGAAAAATCGAGGCTAACCACCAACTACCCATCCACCATGATAAGCTTGATATCGAAATAAACAGACTGCGCTCCAGATATCCTCCATTACTAAGAGCTAACTTCTTACATCAGGAACTTTTTAACCTCACCAACGCTTGGAGAGGACAATGGGAGAGCGACTCACTACAGGAAGCACACCAAATATCCTGTATAAATCAGAAACCGCCAGGCTTTGAACTGGCCTGCAATACATGGACAACGATAAACAGAATAACAACAAGCAGTGGTAGATGTGCTGACAGCTTATATAGATGAGGAAAAGCCCTTACTCCTGAGTGTGACTCTGGTGCGCAACGACAGACCGTCCGTCACATTGTTGAAGAATGCTCCCGAAGGCGATTCCCTGGAGTTTTCGATGAGTTCCTGAATGCGACCGAAAATGTTTTACACTATATTAATAATACATTAGATGTTTTTTTACAGAAGACCTAATTTTTTATTTAGACCTAATAGGACAGACCTATTAGGTCGAAATACGTATCAAGAGATACATAGGATTTGTTTGCGTGAAATCAAATATTTGCTGCCTTTTCTCATTTTATTCGTATTTACTCTGTGTGAGTACTAGAAGCACAATTCGCTAAGGATTTCTGCTTAGTTCTAAAAGACATGTCGTGGAATGCAAATTTTAGATTTCCCATGTCTCTTTTAATATCTTTTATCAACGTCTGTTTGCCTTGCAAATTTTAGAAGGCTCAGATTATAAAGCAGAAATCTGAATTGTGTTTCAAAACTATTTTACGATTTTTGTAATTAGATGTCGCTATTGCGTCCGTATTGAAGCCATGTTATTGTTGCTTCTTAAAAGGCAGAAAATATTGATTTTTCACGTTGATAACCCCTATGAATAGCTCTTCTGACGAGACCTATTAGGTCAAAATACGTATCAAGAGATACATAGGATTTGTTTGCGTGAAATCAAATATTTGCTGCCATTTCTCACGTTTTTTTTTTTCTTTTTTTAACGGCTTTGGCAGTTTGCCATACAGCCAGAACATTAGATGTTCGTTTGTGACGATTTATATTGTATACTTCATGTAACGTTTTATATTAATTTTTTAATTATATGTTCTTATTGTATGTCATACGATAAATAAATAAATAAATCTGGCAAGTGCTTTTGATACTCTTGATCAACAACAACGTTTTGAAAGTTTTCAAGATTGCGAAACCAGAAGAAATGCTTATAAAACTTACTGAACATTTTTTCATCTGTGTGTTACTTAAAGATCTAATTCTAAATTAAGTATGGTCCCGTGCATATGATTGTAAAGAATGTTTTTTAGCACGTGTAACCTTGGTCCATTTTTTTCGTGTTTTGCATTTTTTACATTCGCCTTTGTTTATATTGTCATTATGTGGTAATCATTTGATACTGTAATATTTTTTATTTACATTGTAACTTTAATTTTTTTTGCCAAACGTTCAAATATATTTTCTACAAAACATCGAGACCATCCACATTGAAATAAATGCTTATCTACAAAACGGGTCATAGCAATTAGTGAAAAACATTTTTATTCGAACAAAATATAAATAGAGGTGAACTGGTAAATAATAGACGTTTAGTGTGAAATTTAAAACTTTTTTAAACTCTGCTATTTTCAATTTATTCATCGGTGAATTATTTATATTTCTGGGTTTATTACTAATCAATAAAAAACCAGAGTTTACTAACTAGATATTGTATGAGGACGATCGAATACTATTATGTATAATAGTTACAAAATAAACAACTTTTTAAAACTAATATCAGTGTATCTACATATTTCAAACCAAAATTAAAAAATTCCTTTTTACATCCAATTAATTTTAAAAATCGGAAAGGCTATTCTGCCGTCCTAAGCAAGAAGGCAGCATCTCCAATTTTTACAATTTTCGAGTTGGCTCTTTTATATGGGTTCTTATACAATTAATAATATACCAAACAAAGTTAGAAAGCAGTAAGCGATCATTCCTTGGTCTGGTAGACTATTAAAATTGCAGTAACTCAACTCGTTGTTAGGCATTCCTTAGTTAAAAAGCAGTAAGTACCTTATACAAGCCTAAAAGGTAGTATCTCCTACAGAAAATAGATATACTGCTTTTTAATCTAGCACTTGCTTGAGTTTATCGCGACATGCCCCACCACACATCCATATCAAGATATCACAATTCTTAAGGTCGATTCAGACACATCAGTCACGTCACAGTCACGGTACCGAACCGGTCCTGTTTGGTCACAGAACTATCAACTATCTGACAGCTGGCAAACTGTTCGTCAACTGATGAGTGTGAATGCCGGCGCCATATTTGTATTAAAGAATATTTTGTATGACGGATTGTTCGATTCGGCGCAATCACTGTGACGAGATGGTGACGAGACGTGACTGATGTGTCTGAATCGATCTTTAGTTTCTGTGTGTAAACAGTGAAGTCGGAAGCATGAGTAAGTTTCTTTCAGTTTATTCTAATTAATTACACTCTGTGTACGTGTTCATATCAATAATAAAGATTACAATACATTTATTTCTTTGTCGTTTTTCCTTAATTTTAGTTATTGTCAGTATATCTATTTACACTCAGTCTTCAGTTCTTTGTCTTGTATGTATATTTCGAATATTCCAGGTTTCTAACTTTCATATTTCTTTTCTATTCTTCTTATTTCTTGTTTTCCTTTTAATTTCTCTTTTCTGTCCATGATTATTCTTTATACTTGTTTTTTTATCAATTGCCATGGTCGGTACCTTATATTCCAATCTATAATTTAATATTTTTCTAATAGATTAAGAATTATATAGGTATAATTATAAAAGTTTAGTAGATTAATAGAAGTAAAACAAATGCCAAATGAATATATAGGCAACACCTTCGTATACAAAAACAAAAGTGGTTTGCAACCATATAATATACATTACAAAGCACCATATCAAGCACCCGACGCGACGATAAAAATATGGAAAATGATCAGTGATACATGGAATTACAAATAAAAAATAAATATATTAGGAAAAGATTGTTACATTAATTTATGCTAAAACTAGATAACAACAATTAAGATGGTTATGGCACGTTTAGGAAGTCTTAACAAGAAACAGTTGGATAAGACTGTAAATCTGATAATATTGATATAAATCAAAGTATAAACATTTACTATGCGAGTAGGGACACATGCCCTTCAAATCTACTCCAGATGTTTTCGTCAAATGTCGTCAAAAATATTTGTACCAATAATTTAATAAAATTTATAAGCAACTTTTTATATAATATTTTATCTTACCAAAATTTGTAACCCTTCCTTCTGAGCTAGGTTCTTCCCAACTCTTGGTTTCGTTCAAAGTCATGGAACTCACTTGAGTCTTCAATGATTCTATTTCTCGAGACATCTGTGATTCACTGGAACTAGTTTGCCTACTAACAAATATAATTTTAAAGACAGCGACAAGTATTATAATTTGAATTCTTCTACTCTCAGATGCAGAAAATTCGATCCGTGACATATTTCTCAGTAACTGCGAGTTTTATAACTTAGGAATTGTTATATGGCACATATAATTTAAAAAAAACCTCGTATAAGTACGATTATTAATTTTTATCCATTTTTTGTTTATTTTTAATTCTCTCAAATATCTAAGTTTAATAAGCAGCAAGAAATTAATTTGTTATCGTATTGATTTTAACAACCAGACCAATTTAGTAATAAAATTATTAAAATTTAAAATTATTTAAGAATTTTTAATTATAATAAAATGACATTAATACCAACGGATGCTGCAAGTCATGGCATTAGTAGGTACAAGATGATCGTAGCCAATATTATGTCGCTCAGGCGCTGGGTGTAAGTAGTTGTGCTGCAAAGAGCCACGTAGTTAAATCAAAACGACAACATACTAGAAGGTCAGAATCAGACCGTAGGGGAACAATATCCTTACACAATGATCAATTTTTGATTTCTTCGTGTTTAAGAAATATATATCTAACTTCAATTGATCTGATAAATCCTCTGAACGCAGTCCGAGAAGTAGATATAAATATAAAGTAGTAATAATAATAAAGTAGTGGACGACTGCATAAAGCGAATTTATTATTCAGAAATTATGAGTTAGCCTTATTTCCAGAGCTATCTGTGGAACATTGCAGAACTCGACTTGCCCCACAAGGTACCACAAAAATTAACTTAATAACGCACATTAAAGTAATGTTTTGTTCTCAGATGAGTTGAGGTTTTGCTTGAGATCACAAGAGGGTCGCAAAATAATCTGTAGAAAACAAAGAAAACGATTTCTCCAATGTAATATTGCTGATAGAATAACCTATCTAGAAGGCTCAGTTATGGTTTGGGCTGCTACAAGTTCTAATGCCCGTACTGACTTAGATATTGTAGATGGAGCTTCTATAATAGAAGCAAGGTATATAACAACCATTTTAGATGAGCATGTGGTATCTTTTGAATGAATACGAATTGGCCAGCCTACAACTCCGACCTCAATTGAATCAAATTTTTTGCACCTAAGAGTACTTGTAAAATATTCTTACCTGTATATATAACTGCTAACGTTATTGTGATATATTTGTTGGTCTTGTTCCAACGCATCTGCAAATAGTCAATAAATAAAAATTAGTATTCTGGATTAAACGGGTCCAGATTAGTACATATATTTGATTTTTTATAGTGTTATAGTTTTAGTTTACTTTACGTTTTAATTTGATCCTAATACAAAACTAATGGTCCAAGGTACAATAAAAATAATTGTGAGTAGGTCTTCTTTTCTTTTGTTATATAGATAGAAAAAGGTTGCACTCACATATGCAAAAAATTTACCAGTAACTTAACCAGTAACTATAAACATTTAAGAAATAAACATTCAGCCTTTTTAAAGAGACTAAAATAGCATTACCAAAAGCATGTTTGTAAAGGTTTATATATATAATATATATATATATATATATATATATTATATATATATATATATATATATAAAGTGCACTCGTAAGTGAATGGGACGTTTTCGGTCAATTTGGAGATAAAAAAGACAAGAGTTGTGCTACTTCTATTTATTGACGACGTTTCGTCCACTGTTTAGTGAGCATCATCAGTTCATCTAAAAGAGTGTTATTAGCGATACATCTAATATGAAAAACAATTAAGTAAATAATCTTACCTTTAAAAGATCTGGAGCGTTAAAAATGGTATTAATATGAAAAAACATCAAAATAAGGCAAACATTAATCTTGTAAATACATCAGCAAAAAAAGAATAACAGAACGCCGGAAGATTCCCAATTTATGTAATTTTATATTAATTTTTTAATTTCACTTTTGACAACATTGACTGATTATAAAATCTATCAAAAAATGTAATTGTCAATTTTGAAATATTATATTAACAACGACATTGCTTAGGGTTCTTGACTGTTATGACCATAATATCCGAAATGAAGTATAAAAACGTCAGAAAAAATATATAACTATCTGGCTGAGTATAAACTGGGACACTTGTCAAATTTACGAAATAATGCTAAAATTATGATGTAATAAACGAAACTGAAGAAGAAACCAATCATTAAAAGTAGAATACGGAAAAATCAATTTTGTAGTATTGGTGCATTGTAAATTTGGCTTAAGTTGCTGATATCAGTTCTCTTATTTAATGCATTAGGTTAACTGTCTCTTATTAAGGTTACGTTCTCTACAAAGAATTCTAACATCATCAAAATTCACAGCATGTTTGGTGTTGATTGCATGTTGTGCAAGGGCACCGGTATGTTTGGACAGTTTAATGTCACTACGATGTGAAGTAAGGCGTCCTTTAAGGGAACGGCCCGTCTGACCAATATAATATGCATGTATATATATATATATATATATATATATATATATATATATATAGACAAAGAAACATATCACCAAGACACACCCAAGATAGCAAAAGAACATTAAAAATCTTCTACCTACCAATACAAATCGATTTTTAAAATTGAAAATTGTATACTAAAATTAAATCACAAAACTTTATGTGTTTTTGATTATTTTTATTTTTACTGAATATTCTAATTGGTTAAAATCCTGTTTTGATTCGTTCTTAAAAAAATCTGAATTAAAACACATTGACAAATTCAATGCCTTAACAAACAATTTAGGCACAAATGTACTTTTCCTAAACCACTAAAAATGGTTTACAAATCTTTTTACAGTTGACATATCACAATATTCTTAGATTTCTTCTTCTTCTTCTTTCTTTATTAAGTAACATCTCAGGGGATAATTTGCCCAGCTAATTCAGGGGGGATATTCTCAACTTGCTCTAGGCAATCGAATATCCCCATATAACACTAAATTGAAATTATTTTATATTGAATGAACACTATGTTGAAACTTCTTCTTCTTGGGCCAAACAGTTGGTATAGGTAAGACAATACAACACAGGATTAAATTTTTCTCGCTTTGAGGGTAGCAACCAAGCTAAACACATACCAGAAATGCTATCAACGGATGAGAATCGGAGAACCCAGGTGTAAAAAAAGAGCGGAATTTGAAAGGTTATGTTAGTTATAGTAGAATAAAAGAAAGGAATATATATTATAGATTGATTTTGGCTAGATTAAGAAAGTAATTAACAAATTTAGTCTTTGGGGATTAAGAATGGATACAAGAGAGCAAATCTCTGGAATAGAATAGGGAAGTTTGTAGTTTTTTTTTTCAAGAAATTCTTTGTAGAGGTCAAAATTTGGAGAAACGTTTATTGGAGACTTTAGGATAATATTATTCAGAGATCCAATTTGACCACGTTTACAGTATGAGTTGTCCCGAATAGCCATGCGGAATATATGAACGGGAGTGGAACAATGTCCTGTTCTCATTCTAATTACTGTGGTGATATGCCTTCTGTCTTTATAAGGAAATTGATTTAACCATGGTGATTTGTTCTATTTATTGACTATTTTACGTCACATTTAACTTTGGCTGGCATTTTTAGTGATCTTCCTATGTTTGCCAATTTGTCTGCAACACAATTGCCCTTAATATCCGAATGCCCTGATATTCATGCCACAATAATACTAATGTTCTCTTGATTGGCTCCTATAATGGCTCTTTTGGTCATGATAGAGGTATGTTTAGTTTACATTAAGTAAGATGTTATCCCTATCTTTTGCATAGCACTCTTAGAATCAGACAAAATTAAGGCCCTCTTGATATCCTTGTCCAAGACGAATTGACCCGCATAATTAATTGCAATAATCTCTGCAGTGCAAACTTGAGTCTACGTAGGGAGTTTACTAGTAAGTAGTAGTAGAGTAGGGAGTATGAGTATTCAAAGCCAGGATAAAAAACATCAAATCCTGCTGAGCTCTTATTATCAACTGACCCATCTGTAAAGATTATAGTGTGAAGTGAATTGTCAAGTAAGATTCTTTGAAATTGAATTAACGTATGCTCATCACCTTTATTAGATTGCACATTCCTAATAAGGATAAAAGTTAATTGATATTCTAATTCAAAATTATGGCACGGAAATAAGTCACTAGAAAATAAATTTGGGGTATGCTGGAATTTATTCATGATGGAAACTAAGAGGGGAATACTTTTTTGATTCCAGTAATTATGATTTGATTGCATTGATAATAATTGATTCAAGGCAGAAATTATTGGATTGTTAATTAGCATAAGATTTTTTAGGAGGAATTTAGAATTAAGCCATTTCCGTCTGTACTTGAGAGGAATTTGACCACTTTCACCTAACATTGCATGAATAGGGCTAGATCTCATACATCCTGTTATGATCCGAATACTCTTATAGGTAATGTAATTTATTTAACCTGTTGATAAGCGCCTTAGGACAATCTGATAATATTTGACATCCATAATCTAAATGACTCTATATCAAACCATTATCAACTATCTGGAGAGTTTTAGGATCACTACCCCAATATGTTCCACATAGAGCTCTCATTACATTCAAGTTACGACTTACTTTTAATTCTATTAAATCCAGGTATTATTTACACTTTGGGGTTTTTTGAATAACTACCCCTAAATATTTCACTGTATCCACCCATTTAATTGCATGACCTCTAATTCTTACGTTTGGAGGATTAACTTTACGATTCCCTTTTTTAAATATAATTGCTGAGAACTTATTGTAAGAAAGATTTAAGGTGTATTCTAATAACCAGAGATTCACCCTTTCCATTAACAAGTTCAAAGATTTAATTAATTGAAGTAGATCATCCCCACTAGCCAAAATAACCAAATCATCTACATACTCTATCAGATTACAACCGTTGGGAATAATCTGATATAAAGATAGAGAATACAGATTAAATATCATTGGACTTAGAGGGGAGACCTGAGGTAAGCCCTGATTAGATTTTCTTAGGCCATGAATTTGAACAGTTTTGTCCTTTACATAAATATTACGATAATTTAATATAGAATAAATGGCATAATTTGCTAGTTGAATAGAAATGTTATATTTAATTAGTTTAGGGTATAAAAGAGGGATGTTTACACTATCATAAGCTGCTGAAATATCTAGGAAAAGTCCTACGGTAATTTGATTCAATAAAAATCTTTGTAGTATTTTAGAATTTAGTAATGAATAGTTCTAGGAACTACTCAATTCTATTTTTAATTAATGTTTTCAGCATTTTACCAAGGCTCAGCAAGGCCTTCGACTGTGTCAATCACAAAATTTTAATTAATCTAAAAAATATGGGTATTCAAGGACGTGCATTGAATTGATTAACATCTTATTTAACTGCACGTCTACAATATGTCAGTTTTACCAAAAAAGGCAAAAAATCAAATGCGAGTCTAACTATCTCGATATTAATATAGGTGTACCACAAGGCTCAATTTTAGAACCCATTCTATTTCTTAATTACGTCAAATATATTGTCTTGGTTAATTCAGATCGATTTTTTACAATATTTGCGGATTACATAAATGCCGTAATTAACGCATCTGATACCTCTTTGGAGTCTAAATATAATCGTTTACTGTCGAACCTTTATACCTAGTTTTGTAATAATACAATATTATTGAATACTCAAAAACCTCTTTTCATGTAGTTTCATAATAAACAACGATTTGTTAATCCAATTAATTTGAACATAGATAGTAATGACATAGAAAAAGTACCCAGGACTTCATATAGATGAATGTCTTAATTTGGAGAAAACATTGTTATGCACTTGCTACAAAATTAAACTCAGTAACTTTTTTGTTTCGAAATTTAAAATGGACAAATGGTTTTTAACGGACAAATAATTAATAGCGCTTTATTACGCCCAGGCCAAATCTCGTCTAAGATACGAGATTTGTTGTTGGAAAAACAAGTAGCCATATTAATGAAGTCTTTATTGCACAAAAGAAAATAATGCGGTCTATTGCTGGTATGATGGATTTGATGTGTAGATTTTTCTAATCGAATTTATGGATGATAATGAACCTGTGCAGATTGTTAAGTTTTTGGTACCCTGCATTGGAACCTCTAGAGTTTTAAGTATAGCGTAGAGTTCTGCTGTGAATAAACTGGTCATCTTGGGTAGTCTATACATTGCTAGTATGCTATTTGTGGAAGTAACAGCACAT